GACAACTAGCACCTTGAAGTGAATCCGGAGACCAACAGGCAGCCAGTGCAGCTCGCGGAGGATAGGTGTTACGTGGGTGAAACGAGGCGCACCCACGATCAAAAATTGCGGGTGGGCTTGCCCACCTGCCCCAGCTCTATGCTGTCCTATTGAGGCACATTTTTAAGGCTGGGTGCATGCATAAGCAGAGCTCAAGATGCCAGCGGATGGGCGCATGGGTGGAAGGGGCGCACCTGTGGTAACAAAATATGAAACCCACTGCTGGAAGTATGATTGTTTTTCATACAACCATTGCAGCATCCCCGTGGTCACATGATGAAACATTGTACAATTGGCCACTGACATGTGTTTATGACGGTTGAAGTGTCTCAGGGTTTCGTGATCACCTTTTGTAACCTTCTGACAAGCAGTCAACGGGGAAGCCAGATTCGCTTAACAACCCTGCGGGACTAATTTCACAATGGCAGTGATTCGTTTAACAACTGTGGCAAGAAAGGTTGTAAAATGGGGCAAAATTTACTTAAGAACAGTATCGCTTAGCAATGGAAATTTTGGACTCAACTGGGGTCATAGGCCGAGGACTACCTGTGATGCAATTGGAAACCATTCTTTCTCCAGATAGTACTGGAACTTTTGCTGAAGTGTTTATGAGCAAGTTAGATACCCCCTGTCTAGTCCATTCATTTTTGCTAATTTGTCACCTGAATCATTTGGGAAGATGTTGCCCAAGGAAAGATTCTCAGATGTTCAAATACATCTTTTGCCATTTATCTGATTCATTTTTAAAAAAAAAAGTTTTAGGAGAGAGCTGGCAAAAGTGCTAAGCATGAATCTCCATATTTATTCACAACCTCCCATCTCGGAAGAAACTCAAACATGATCAGAATGATAATGTAACTGCAGAATCTCCTGACTGGAACTATTCATTATCAAAGCAGCCAGTCACCTTTGAAACATTGTGTTTGAGTGTTTGAGTGTTTATTATAATTTATAGGCCGCCCTTTTCCCTGAGGGGACTCAGGGCGGCTTACAAAACACGGGGAGGGGGGTACAAAGAAAAAAAAAAAAGCATAAGACAATACATAATATTAAAAATAAAGCACAACATTCATTCATCATTCGGGAGGGGACAGACTAAGATTTTTTTTTTTATAGGTGCACCAGTGTACCTACCATCCCTGTCCTACTGTTCCCATTGATATGTACTTATTTCCTTTGTTCATCTCCATGTTTATACTTATACATGTTATCTTGTACATGTTTGACAAACCAAATAAATAAATAAATAAATAAATAAATAAATAAATAAATAAATAAATAAATAAATAAAT